GTGTGATCTCTGTCTGTCAAATAAATAAATAAAATCTTAAAAAAAAAAAAAGGTAAGGCCTTAGAAGAACTGATGTTTCATAGGATCTATGCATTTGTACTTCTTATATTTTCATGTTGCCCTCTATCATAGAGATTCTTTTGTTTTATAGTCTCAGCATCTTGTTAGATGAGAACGTTGGTTGATTTGCAGCCTTTCCAACACCTCTACCAAATTTTGATTTTTGCTGGTGTGATAGGGTAAAAGACAGTGTCAAGATGGTTTTCATTTGCATTTCTCTTATTCTGACATTATGTACATTTTTATAGGTGTTTGGTTTTCCTATGTTTTATCTATTTTTTGATACAGTACAGGACTGCAAATATGTTTTCTTTTTTAGGATTTTCCTAATTTTTCTCTACTGTAGGAGTACAATATATAATATATATAGCATACAAAATATATTAATCAACTGTTTATATTATGGTAAGCCTTCCATCAGCAGTAGACTGTCAGTATTTAAGTTTTTGAGGAGTCAGAAGTTACATGTGGATTTTCACCTGTGTGTGCAGTGAGGGGAAGTCAAGGTCCTAATAATCCCTGAGTTGCTCAGGGGTCAACTGTAATTCGATTAAAATGAGATCTTTCTTTCTGTTTCTTCCTCTCCTCTCCTTTTTTCTCCTCTTCCCTCCTCTACTCTCCTTTTGTTTTCTTTCTGAGAGATTGCAGGGGAAGGGGCAGAGGGAGGGGTAGAGGGAGAGAGAATCCCAAGCAGTCTCACAACCCTTCAGAGGTTGTGGAAGTCTTCAGAGAGTTGAGGAATACATTTTGGGGATAACATGATTATTCTTGTATTTATAACAAAACAAATATTCTCTTGATTGAAAAGTGTTTTGTTTGTTTTTTTGTTGCAGGCTGGGAAGGCCACTGTGACTATGTGGTGACTACAGTTATCTTACCACTGAGTTTCCCACTGGAATCATGGAGGAGAAACAGCAGATTATATTGGCTAATCAAGATGGTGGAACAGTGGCAGGAGCAGCACCTACCTTTTTTGTCATCCTAAAACAGCCAGGAAATGGCAAAACTGATCAAGGAATTTTGGTTACTAATCGGGATGCCTGTGCTTTGGCTAGCAGTGTGTCATCACCAGGAAAATCTAAAGGGAAGATTTGTCTTCCAGCTGATTGTACTGTGGGAGGAATCACTGTCACTCTGGATAACAATAGTATGTGGAATGAATTCTATCATCGAAGCACAGAGATGATTCTGACCAAGCAGGGAAGACGCATGTTTCCATACTGTCGTTACTGGATAACAGGTTTAGATTCAAATATGAAGTATATCCTTGTCATGGATATATCTCCTGTGGATAACCATCGTTATAAGTGGAATGGTCGCTGGTGGGAACCAAGTGGGAAGGCTGAGCCCCATGTTTTGGGGAGGGTTTTTATTCATCCAGAATCTCCTTCCACAGGTCATTATTGGATGCATCAACCAGTATCTTTCTATAAACTCAAACTTACCAACAATACATTGGACCAAGAAGGGCATATCATCTTGCACTCTATGCATCGGTACCTGCCGAGGCTTCATTTGGTGCCTGCAGAAAAGGCTACTGAAGTAATACAGTTAAATGGCCCTGGTGTCCACACTTTTACCTTTCCACAGACGGAATTCTTTGCAGTAACAGCTTACCAGAACATTCAGATTACCCAGCTGAAAATAGATTACAATCCATTTGCTAAAGGCTTCCGGGATGATGGGCTGAATAGTAAACCCCAGAGAGATGGAAAGCAAAAGAACAGCTCTGACCAGGAAGGGAATAGTGTTCCCAGTTCTCCTGGTCAGCGGGTCCGTCTTACAGAAGGTGAGGGGTCAGAGATACAGCTAACTGATTCAGATTCTTTATCAAGGGGTCATGAAACGTCAGGCAAGTGTTTGGAGAAGCCTTCTCTTAGTATAAAACGGGACTTTCTTGGTTTCATGGATATTGATTCAACTCTTGGTGAAGTTCCTCAATTGAAACAAGAAGTTTCCGAAAGGTAGGTAATATAATAGCCTTTCTGTTCTTAGAGATAAAAGGAAAAATTTGGATTAATACATTGGTTGTGTGGACTACTGACTTAAGCCAGTATCAAATATACCACAGTTCAGATCATGACTGAAACAGTTGAGGCACAGAAGTAAACTTACACAAAGTAAACTTTTTTTTTTTTTAAAGATTTTATTTATTTATTTATTTGACAGAGAGAGAGAGAGAGAGAGATCACAAGTAGACGGAGAGGCAGGCAGAGAGAGAGAGAGAGAGAGAGAGGGAAGCAGGTTCCCTGCTGAGCAGAGAACCCGATGCGGGACTCGATCCCAGGACCCTGAGATCATGACCTGAGCCGAAGGCAGCGGCTTAACCCACTGAGCCACCCAGGCGCCCCAGTAAACTTTTATCTATTTCAGAATTTAACGCTCTGTGGACAGCTAATATCCACAAGTTGACTACAAAATAAGCTGAAAAGCCTTATACGTTAAAATAGCATCATGTGCTGTTGTTTTTTTATTTGAACTTGCAATACTTCCTTTTTTTTAATTGAAGACTTGATTTTTTTAGAGCAGTTTTAGGTTCACAGCAAAATTGAGAGGAAGGTGTAGGGATTTCCCACATACCCTCTACTGACACGTTTGCATCCCCCACTATCAGCACCCCCCACAAAAGTAATATATTTGTTGCAGGTTATAAACCATTGATACATCATAATCATCCAAAGTTATAGATTACATTAGGGTTCATTTTTAGTGCTTTATATTCTATGAATTTGGGCAAGTAATGATCTGTATGTACCATTATAATATCACATAGTATTTTCATTGCCTAAAAATCCTCTGCTCTGTTAATCCTTCCCTTCCCTCCCAACCTCTGGCAACTTGTCATCTTTTTATTGTCTCTCAAGCTTTGCCTTGTCCAGACTGTCGTATAGTTGGAATCATACTGTATGTAACCTTTTCACATTGATTTCTTTCACTTAGTAGTATGTATTCAAGTTTCCTTCCTGTCTTCTCATGATTTGGTAGCACATTTCTTTTTAGTGCTAAGTAGTACTCCATTGTCTAAATGTACCAGTTTGTTTATCCATTCACCTACTAAAGGGCATCTTGGTTGCTTCCAAGTTTTGGCAATTATGAATAAAGCTCCCATAAACATTCATGTCAGTTTTTCAGATTGAGTAGGTACCAAGGAGCGTGATTGCTAAATCGTATGGTAGGAGTATGTTAGATTGGTAAAAAATTTCCAAATTGTCTTTTAAAGTGGCTGTGCTGTTTTGCATTCCAAGCAGTAGTGAATGAGACTTGCTGTTGTTCTGCCATCTCCTCAGCATTTGATGTTGTCAGTTTTCTGGATTTTGGCAATTCTGATAGGTGTATAGTAGTATCTTGTTATTTTAATTTGTAATTCCCTGATGGCAGGCAATGTGGAGCCTCTTTTCATGCACTTAATTGCTGTCTGTATGTTTTCTTTGGTGAAGTGTCTGTTAAGGTCTGTAGTTCTTTTTTTTTTTTTTCTTTTTTTTTGGTTAAGGTTTTATTTACTTAGCACATAAGTTTGGGGAGGGACAAAAGGAGAGGGAGAGAGAAACTCTCAAGCAGGCTCTGCTCTAAGCACAGAGTCCAGAGTCCAGAGCCGGATGTGGAGCTTGATCACACAACCTTGAGATCATGAGGTGAGCTGAAATCAAGAGTTGGCTGCTTAACTGAGTCACTGAGGTACCCCTGTGGTCCATTTTTAAATTATACTTTTTCTGGGAGTCCTGCATCAGGCTCCTTGCTCGGCAGGGAGCCTGCTTCTCCCTCTGCCTCTGTCTGCCATTCTGTCTGCCTGTGCTCGCTCTCTCGCCCTCTCTCTTTCTGATAAATTAAAAAAAAAAATTATACTTTTTCTTAAGTTTTAAGAGGTTTTTTTGTTTGTTTTTGTTTTTTTTTTTAGTATTTTGGAACAGCAGTCCTCTATCAGATATGGCTCTTGCAGGTATTTTCTCCTAGTCTGTGGCTTCTCTTCTCATTCTCTTGATACTGTCTTTCACAGAGCAGTTTATTTTTATGAAGTTCAGCCTGTGAGTTATTTCTTTCATGGATCTTGCCTTTGGTGCTGTATTTAAAAAGTCCATACTTATGACATGTAGGCTTCCTCCTGTGCTCTCTTCTAGGACTTATGGTTTAGTGTTTCACATTTCAGTTTATTACCCATTTTGATCCATTTGTTTTTTTTTGTGAAGGGTGGAAGGGGTGTGTCTAGATTTAGTTTTTTGCATGTGGATGTCCTGCCATTCCAGTACCAGTTGTTGAGAAGATGATCTTTGCTCTGTTGTATTGTCTTTTGCTCCTTTATCAAAGATCAGGTGACTGTATTTATGGGGGGCTATTTCTGGCCTGTCTGGTCTGTTCCACTGACCTATGTGTTTATTCTTTCACAAATACCACACTGTGTTGGTTACTTTATAATAAGCTTGGAGTGGGGGAGTATCAGCCCTCCAACTTTGTACTCCTCCCTCTTTTTTTTTTTTTTTTAAAGATTTTTATTTATTTATTTGACAGCTATATATAGAGAGAGCACAAGTAGGCAGAGAGGCAGACAGAGAGAGAGAGGGAGAAGCAGGCTTCCTGCCGAGCAGGGAACCCCATGTGGGACTGGATTCCAGGACCCTGGGACTATGACCTGAGCCAGGGAAGACGCTTAACTGACTGAGCCACCCAGGCGCCCTTCCTTCCTCCTTTAATATTGTGTTGGGTGTTGGCTATTCTGGGTCTTTTCCTTCTTCATATAACGTTAGAATCAGAATCAGTTTATCAGTATCCACAAATAACTTGGTGGGATTTTAGTTGTGGTTGCATTGAACCTTTAGATCAACTTGGGAAGAACTGCCAGCTTGACTATATTGATTGTGTGCATCTGTGAACGTGGAATCTCTTTCTATTTAGCTTTTTATTTATTTTTTTGGTTTTACTCAAATTCAAGTTAGTTAATATGGTGTATTATTTTCAGAGTAGAATCTAGTGACTCATCAGTTGCATATAACACCCAGTGCTCATTATATCAAGGGTCCTCCTTAATACCCATCACCCAGTTACCCTATCCCCCACTCATATCTTGTCCAGCAACCCTCAGTGTGTTTCCTGTAAGTTAAAAGTTTCTTATGATTTGCCTCCCTCTGTTTTTATCTCATTTTATCTTTCCTTCCCCTGTGTTCATCAGTTTTGTTTCTTAAATTTCACCTATGAGTGAAATCATATGGTATTTGTCTTTCTCTGACTGATTTATTTCACCTAGCTTAATTCTTAGTTCCATATATGTCATTGTAAATGGCAAGATTTTGTTCTTTTTTATGGCTGAGTAATACTCCAGGGTGTGTGTGTGTATCAATCACATCTTTATCTGTTTAGCTCTTTAATTTCTTTTATCTGAGTGTTATCACTTGCCTCATGTAGATCTTGTATTTGTGGGGGGGGGCTGTTTTTTTTTTTTTAATTTCTTTTGAGCTCCGTTCGCAGTGTGGTGCCTGAACACATGGCCCCAAGATCAAGAGTTGTATGCTCTACTGACTGAGCCAGCCAGGTGCCCAATCTTGTACGTATTTTGTTAGATTTATACTTAGGCATTTCATTTTTTTGGGTAATAATGTACATAGTATTGTGTGTTTTTTTAAAAAAAATTTATTTATTTATTTGACAGTGAGAGATCACAAGTAGGCAGAGCAGCAGGCGTAGAGAGAGTAGGGGGGAAACAGGCTCCCCGCTGAGCAGAGAAGCCTGATGCGGGGCTCGATATTAGGACCCTGAGATCATGACCTAAGTCCAAACCAAGAGTCGTCTGCTTAATCAACTGAGCCACCTAGGCACCCCTATATATTTGATTAATTTGTATACTCTTCTTTTTCTTCTTCTTCTTCTTTTTTTTTTAAGCCTGGCTCGAGGCTTACTGATTTTTTTTTTTTTAAGTTACTATTTTTAAGTAATCTGTGCACCCAGTGTGAGACTCAAACCCACAACCCCGAGATCAGAAGTCACATGTTTTACCTACTGAGTCAGTAAGCTGCCTCTAGAGGCTTATTGATTTTATTGATCTTTTCAGAGTAGGAGCTTTTGGCTATTTCTGTTTGTTCAGGTCAGTTAGGCCCTGGTTAACTACTTTCTCTAGAGGTGAGTCCTCATTGTTACTTCCCCCTGTGCTCCCGGTACTCCCACCTGTGAGGGGATATCTACTGTGAGAACCTGGTCTAGCTTCTGGGGATAAAGCTCATAAAAAGTGTGGGAGTTCTTCTTTTTCAGGTCAGTTAGGCCCTGGTTAACTACTTTCTCTAGACGTGAGTCCTCATTGTTACTTTCCTCTGTGCTCCTGGTACTCCTGCCTGTGAGGGGATATCTACTGTGAGAACCTGGTCTAGCTTCCGGGGATAAAGCTCATAAAAAGTGTGGGAGTTCTTTTTTGTACTGGAGTTTTTAACTTACAGACTTATTCACACTGAGCCTCTAGCAATTTGTCGGTTTTGATTCAGGTTTTTCTACCCTGGCTGGCACTGGTTCCTGAGTTGGTTTTTACTTATTAGTCTCTGCCGCACTAAAGCCATGACTCCCTGTATTCACCTGTCTGTCTCAGTAGTTTGCACTGTGTCTTCACCTCTCCACCTCTTAGAGATCCAAGAAGAGTTGATTTTTCAGTCTGTTTAGCCTTTTACTTGTTTAGGATACAGTGGCAACTTCCAGGCTTCTTACATGTGGAACTAAAAATCAGAAACTTGCCTCATTTGGAATGTTAGAAAACAAGTGTAGCAGAACTAAATCCCAGCCCAGTACTTTTCCTTTTCTTTCTCACTTAATTCATATCCCCATTAACAATTACTGTTCTTCGTGTTTGAAATCCCCATGCTTATGAGTTTCCCTTGACTTGTTTATGGACAAAATAGTGCTTTATTTTTTCTAAATGTGGTTTTTAGAGTGAGTGCTCTTTTCAATTTTTGCTTATCACTATAGTATTTTTTTATAGTTCTAACTAGTGAAT